AACAGAGAGACTCAAGAGGAGCTTCTATCCTCAGGCCATTCGAGTCCTAAATCAGACCATGCCCCTACTCCCCTCATAGCATTCCTTAATTGACTGAAACAGGACTCTATATGCACACTGTTTTTATATTGTGGTTCTATTATGGCACAATGCACTTTAAAACTATGCACTGCCCTTACATTTATACATTTATACTTATTTAATTGCACTCATTTCTTTACTTATTTTTTTTTTTACGTATTTTTTTACTTTTGTTAATGTTTGCACAGTCAAGGAGCGGCTCAGGGTACATTTCACTGTGTGTTGTACTTATATGACTACGCATGTGACAAATAAAGATCTTGAATCTTGAATCTTAAGTTGTCATGTATTATTTTTCTTTCCCTGTTTTTCTCTCTCTATCTGACACCCCCCCTTTTTTTCTTCTATCTTTTCTTTCTCTCTTTTTCCCTCTCCTCTTTCTCTCCCTCATCTCTTCCTCTCTTTATCTCTCCTATTGCAGTTAACTTTCCCTGTCAGCTCCGGCTTTGTGGCACAATAATCTAAAATGATTAATAAAGAGTATACCTCAAGTAACAAGAGGAGCTTAATCCGAAGCTCCACTTGGCAAAATAAAAGTGTTGGCACAATAAAGCACCCAGACTAACATCCTGCTTGCTAAACTGCCGGACACGACAAGGGTAATATATATATATATATATATATATATTGTAATTTGAAATATAATTGAACCCCCATTTCTCTTGATTTGGCAATTGCGATTTCAGTTTCCCGAAAGTATTTGATAGAATAAATACATGCATTTGCTTACTGTCTGTTTTTCAGTTTTTAAAGTTCGATCAGGGCTAAAATTAATTAATGTGTGTCGTTAAAATTACCCTGGCATATGACATTAGCGCGATATATGCATTATAAATGTGCCGGCAGACAAAGCATTTTTGTGGTAATGAAGAAAAAATGGAACTTGCCACTTAGAATATGTGAAGACCGTATGAAGGTCAAGCACACAAAAGACTACTGATTACTATGTCAGTCTGTTATGAGATGCAATACGTTTTGCATGTAAACACTGACGTCGCTACGTGCGAAACAAATTGTGCAGTTATGAGCACACAAAAGACTGTAAATTACTCGGAAGGTGTGTGCATTTGTGTGTAGGATTGTGAGATGCCACAGTGCACACAAACACTTCATGATGTACCTGTGAAACAGGATGGGCAGTTATGAGCACACAAAAGACTGCAAATTACTCCGGAGGTGTGTGCATTTGTGTGTGGGATTATGAGATGCCACAGTGCACGCAAACACTCCATGATGTACCTATGAAACAGAAAAGTGCTAATTACTCCGAAACAGATTGCGGTCCAAATATATTACGGTACAATAAAAAAACACTTTTGCGTGCGTGTGTATGTTTCCGTATCACATTCAAGCGGTTATATTTGATATAATAAGTAGATACAGTTGATGTCTGCAACAATCTGTGTAACCTTATTCCGTTGTAAAACTTAGAGCTAAAAGATAAATTGATTTACGTATATCGGTAAAAGGACCCTGGCATGACATTAGCGCGGTACGTATATGCATTATAAATGTTATAAATGTGTCACGAAGTAAAAACGAACTATTGTTAATTTGAGGGGCGCCAAAAATGTTATGCAATGTAATGTGTAAAGTTCAACCTGTGGCGAGAGGAAAAAGACAGGAGGCAGATGCTTAGTCCGTGAAAGGGATGATGCACTTTTTTATTAACAACAAAAAGAAAAAGAACCAGAGAGCCAGATCCGGTTGCCACCAAGATATTCAAAAACTGTAACAGGAAGTTAAACAAGCCTTCAGAGTAAGAGCACATCTGCCCTGAGAATTCTGACTGCTTATGAACCCGCTACAAACCTTTTGTTAGACTGCAAATTACTCCAGACATGTGTGCATGANAGTACACTTCCTACCCGTGTCAAATATTAACGGGTCTCTCTGCAAAAACGTGTCAGAAAGAGACACATCGTCTAATTTCCTGGCCTGTGCACGAGTTAACACACAAACTGGAAAAATATCAAGTGGCACATCAGAATCAGAATGCACTGGACTATCAACAACCTCCAGAACTGGTAACACTTTACCTCCAGCAATATCATTTCCTAAAATAAAGACAACACCTGCAACAGGCATTTCTTTACATACACCAACCCTAAACATGCCTACAGCCAGGTCTGACTCAAGGTACACGTCATGCAATGGCACTTTAAAATATCCAGGCCCAAACCCACAACAAACTGCATATGATCCACAAAAAGATTTATCTGAAAATGGCAAGGTGCCTTCTAAAATAAAAGACTGAGCCGCCCCAGTATCACGTAACATTTTAATGGGTGACAAAGAATAGTCTTTACCAAGAGAGGCAAAACCTGTCGTAACAAATGGTTCATAACAATTCTCCACAACCCCTAAAACAGGAGAAGAAATCCGCCCAGCTAACGCCACGGTTTTAGGTTTCACAAGTGACCCAGAAGACGTTAACTGCTCCTCTTTTCTCCTTAAAACTGGACACTGGGCAATAAGATGGCCAGGCTTATGACAATAGAAGCACTCTCGACCTTCAGGAGGAGAGCCCGAAATACTAGAACGCAGAGGCACAGAGACAGACCCCTGCTGAGGTAGAGATCCCTCGGTCTTAACCTGCTTAAAAAGAGGTTTATGGGTAAGAACGAACTCATCAGCTAACACAGCAGCTTCCGCTAACTGTGTAACTTTACGTTCATTTAAATAAAGTACCACTCTATCAGGCAGACAGTTTTTAAACTCCTCCAACAACACTAACTCACGCAGAGAAGCAAAATCAAGGCTCCTACACGCATTACACCATTTATCAAGAAGTAGTTCTTTTTCACGTGCGAATTCCACGAAAGTTTTGAGGGGCCGTTTCCGGGCACCCCGAAAACGTTGTCTATAAGCCTCCGGCACCAACTCATAAGAACGCAATATTGCAGCTTTCACAGAATTGTAATCTAACCCGTCTTTCAACGGCAAGGAGGAACACACTTCTTGGGCCTTTCCTACCAATTTACATTGTAGGAGAAGAGACCAAACATCTCGAGGCCAGTTTAATGCAATAG